AAAAGGAAATGTGAGTCAAAGGTATCACTGCGACGCGCAAGAGATATTCTATGTGGCAGGGTCTTAATAACGGACTAGTCGAATTTTATGTGTCACCTCAGAAGCATACTTACAAAGATAGGAACCAGAGCGCTCGCATTAAAAAAAATCCAACATTGACACTCCCAACATCAGCAGCAACAGTTCAAGCACCTTCCAGCAGGATAAAGCTAAATAAGCAATGTTGACAATATCTTAGCGCGACAAAATATGCAAAAGATACATAGCTAAGTAAGTTGACCGGGGGGAGACCCCTTTACTGCTGCGAAAGGCAAATGAAAAGTAGGTGTGTTTATGAATAGTTTTAATGGCTTATCATTGTTTATTGTTGCTTCAGAAAAATAGCTATAAAAGTTAGGGGTAAATGTAATGGAGAAAAATGCAATTTTTCGCATTGCTTACATTTCTCGCGTGCACTTAAATTTCACGCAGCGCAAACAACCAAACAAATACCTACCAAATGCTGCGCTATTACAACCGAAAGAAAGTTGTACGGGCAACTCCCCGCTCATAAAAAAGGGATAACTCACGGAAACAATGCAGGCAGCGTAAGGACTTTCTGGCATAGAGAAGAATTGAAAAAAAGCGCAGCATAAAAAGTGTACAGGCAACATGTTGTGACACTCAGGCGACGCACTGTTTAGCGTATGGACATAGACAACAGCTCACCCGCCTTGTCAGCGTGCGCTGCGCTGCTTTGCGGAGTTTTGCCACCTCAAGCTAACTGTAACGGTATCTAATGGTTGGCAACATTCCATCAGAGTGTGAAATTATGATAAATGTGCAGCAATGCAACACATTGCATTGCAGCAATTTTTATTTTGCTACTTTTTACTATCTTTTACTGTTTACCATTTTTTCTTTGCACTTCCTTGCAGAACCTTTTCTTCGTAACGTGCCGGAGTTACGTGCCATCAGCGGTGATCGTAAAAAATGTCACTAACTACTACTTTCACTGCTTTGTATCATTTCGTGTTGGCTTTTGTCATTGTTGCTGTTGTTGGCTGTGCTGCTGGTAAATGCAAAGTTCTTTTACTCCTCCCGATGGGCTTTGGTGGCTCTGAAAAGTGGTTGCGGATTTTGATTGCATTTTCTTTTAATTAAATTAGCGTTTTTATAGTTGTGTTGCGTTGTCGTAAAAATGATGGAAATGCAAAGATAAGCATGGGATTAAGTTGAAATTTTCAAAAGGGATGAAAAGGTGAGAAAATGTTTGGGAGCTGAGAAGCTGTAAATGAATATTTAAATGGAACATCTTATTTAAAATGAAATGGGGTGAAATGATTGAGCTTGGAACGATTTGGAATGGAACAAAAGAAATAATATTTAATTAAGCGAAGTGAAGTGGAAGAAAATGAAATGTAACAAACAAAACGTGTCGGAACGAAATGAAAAGTAGTCAAATGAAATGAAATGGAACAACACAAATGGAAGCTAATTGCAATTAAAACGAATAAAATGTAATAAAATACAAAAGAATGGCAAAGAATGAGATTAAATAAGATAGAATGACGTAGAATGAAAATTTTAATAAAAGCACATTTAAAAAGTAAATAAAGTAGAAGGAGAAGTGGAACGTAATGAAATTAAACATTAATTAGAATTAAATATAATAAAGTATGAGTGAAATTAAAATAAAAAGAGGAAATGGAAGGGAACGCAGAAATGAAACGAAATGAAATAAAGTGCGGCAAAACTAAAAGACGCGAAATCAAATTAAATAAGCAGAAATTAAATGAAATGGAACAGAATGGGATGGAGCGAAATTAAATGAGGTGAAATTAGTTGAAATGAAATGGGAAAGGATGATGCAAAACATAAACAAACGTAGTAAAGCGATGAGATACGAAATGAGATGTTATAAAAATAAACTAAATGATACGATCGAAAAAGGAATGAAACAAAAATAAATGAAGAGAAACGAAATAGTATAGAATTACCATTAATGAAACAAAATGTGACGAAATAAAGATAAACGAAATGAAACGATCGGAAATAAAAGGAGTGGAATCAGAGTGTATTGAGACGAAATAAAATAATCAGAAATGGGACAAAAAGGAAATGAAATAAAGTGATCAGAAAAAAATATTACAATAGAATAATTGAGATGGTATGAAAATAAATGAAATTAAATTATCAAAATTAAATTAACAGCCGCACTCAGAGTCGTTTAATGATTACTTAAGGTGTCCCTCAGTAACGTCTTGAAAAAATTCCCTCTCAGAGTCAGCTAATGTTTCATTAACGGCATTTAATGAACATTAAAGTTGAGTAAAGAAAAACCTTCACTTAACTTTTTAACGAGAGATTTTGACAATCTTTTGTTTATTATTTTATTATTTTCGTTTGAATTTGTGTTAGATTTTTAAAATAGTGGAAAAATGTCCGATCTAGAAGACTTCATGGACTTTGCGGATTATGTAAGAAGGCACGGGGAAGTGGGATTGAGGCGCTATCTTCGAGATTATTCTGATCCTTTCACGAAGTACTCAAATCGGGAATTCCATGCACGATATAGATTTACGCCTGAAATTATTAAGAATGTTATTTTGCCTTTGGTGCCTTCTGAGTTGGATAAGCCAACCAGAAGAGGATTACCATTTCACCCGGAAATAATGTTATTGGTAACACTTCGATATTATGCCGCTGGCAGTTTTCAGGTTGGTATTGATACAATTATTTACGAGAAGATAACATTTGAATCTGTCTCCATATTATATGTATTATTTTCCAAGGATGGATATATGCATATAACTATTTCAAGAAACAGCTGAAACTATATACATATGTACATATACATACATATATTTTTAGCATATCATATATAAATAAATTAAAAAAATTATATAAATTATTATTTATCTTGGAACTTCGACGTTCTTTAATAAGTTATACCAACATACATATGGAAATAAACGTGTGAATTTCCAATGCCTCAACTTTTGGATCTAATGAACGATAACATATGACTATCCATTTCAATTACAGAAACTGGATGGAGATGTGATGAACATATGTCAACAGTCAGTTTCGCGAATAATTTTTCAAGTCTCTACTTCAATAGCGCGAAAAACCAAAGACCTCGTTAAATTTCCGTCTACTGCAGAAGAATGTAATAGAGTAAAGTAGGGCCATATTTTGTATTCTGAATTTCGTTAAAATATAAAATGTATTTTTACATACTATGTATAAAAATGCTTAATTATTGTTGTAATTGCGTGCGTAGATTGCACACATATTAAAATAAGAAGCCCAGGAGGATTATCTGCTGAGGTATACAGAAATAGGAAAGGGTGGTTCTCTATCAATGTACAAGCAGTCACTGGTCCAAACTTGGAATTTTTTGATTTAGTAGTTCGTTGGCCTGGGAGTACGCACGATAGCTTTATATATAACAGCAGTTCGGTTAAGCAAAGATTCAATAGCGGGGAATTAAAAGGAATACTCTTAGGTGACAGTGGATATGCTGTCAGTAATTTGCTTTTAACTCCGTTTTTATCACCAAGCTCAACTCCACAAAAGGAGTACAATAAAAGCCACATTAAAACAAGAAACACTGTGGAAAGATGTTTTGGAGTTTGGAAGCGAAGATTACCCTGCCTTCACGTTGGAATGGGTATTAAGCTGGATACCGTTGTAGCTGTTATATGCGCATGTGCAGCATTGCATAACATTTCCATCTTAGTAGATGACTTGCTACCAGTCAGCTCTGATAACATCGAAATTTTTAATGTCGAAGCCTCACCAATCAATGAAAACTCCAACAGCAACGGTTTTATTGCGCGTCAATCTCTGGTAGACAGATTTTTTCCTAAGATCTTTTGCTACAAATAAAAGTCTTTAGATGTTGAAATATTAACTATGTCTTTAATTTATTGAACGATTTTTTTTGCCTCTTCAAAATCTATTTTAGCCTTTTGTAGTAATACTTGTTTTTTTTGCTCTTCCAACAAGGCTGCTCTTTTTTTATTTGCTCAACTTCCAACTGTAAAAGAAAATATGCATATACAAATATTTAGCTTTACCAATGCATAGTTATTATATACCTGTGTTTTGACTAATTCAAGCTTAAGCTTCTCTCTCTTCTCTAGGTACCTTATACTAGGTTCACATATAAGTAGATTATGCTCATTTTCGAGCTTAACACCAAAATCTGTAATTATAACAAGAGATTAGCCATATAAAATTCGTCCCTTGGTAATCTGTAATTATAAAATAATCTCAGATTTAACCGATAACTTTTCGGTGTCCATCCTAGTTTTATCGATTGTTTTTGCGAAAGAGAGGAGAAATGCCAAATGTAAAAGTAAACAAAAATGTACGCTAGCAAGTAAAAGAGGTTTGTAAAGGTATTTTTTAATAAAATGTTAAGTTAAAATATATTTATATTGCTTATTATAGCAGAAAAACGTGATCACGGTGGCACAGAGAAGAAACATAACTTTTCCTTGAAATGTGAGAATAACAAGCACAACAAATTTGACGGCTAATAATCTGAGATTTTCCTGCGTAAACGGGGTGATTAAAAAACGAGCTTTGATCGAGATAATATTGATATGTGAACATAGTTTTACCCGTAATGCTGCCTCCCGCCGAACGTAGTCGCTTGGTCTGCGTACTTGCTCCTTTTCCACTTTTTGTTGGTGGCCAGTTTCATTACTGTGTACTATGTAGTTAAAAAGCAGCGAAAAGAATTTTAGTATATCGTAGATGACTTCTTTCGTATTATATAGGTACAGTACCTGCAACATTTGGTTCACCTTCATAATTTATGCTTATGGCTTTGAAGTTTACGTCGGATTCCTCATTTGCTTCCGTGATCATATCTAAAAAATGTTGGTTAAAAAGTGATTTGCCTTATATCTTAAAGGACATACCTAAAAACTCAATGGAGCTAGATTGGCTATTTTCCATGTTTAGCAAAATTGCCCCATCGCTGTCAAAGTTGTTGGAGATTTCGCAAATCATTGCGGGAGCAGCCTAATAATTAAATTTTATGACGACAAGACAGTATGAAGATAATAGTTAAGTCCCTAACAGCGCACTTATACGATATGAATGTATTTACATATCGATGGTCCTGTACAACAACGACACAATTCAAAATTCAAAAAAATATAAAAACTGTTACTACTGTTAAGTGACTCATGTATTTAATCCTTGTCGAATCCATGTCTCATCTTTTGTACTTACTTTAACAATCCTTACTGCTTACTTTAGTAAGGGATGGAAATGGATTAGACAAGGATTAGAGACAATAATCACTTAACAGTAGTAACAGTTTTTATTTTTCGAATTTTAATTTGTGTCGTTATTGCACAGGACCATCGATATGTAAACGTTTTTTTTTTGTATGTACTCGTAAGTAAAGTAGCATTTACATATATGTATATCGTTACTTTAATATAGAAAGGCTCTATTTCACATAATGCTCAAAATCAATCAATAGGTGAATTTAGGATTTTTAGCTAGTTACGATTTTTTTTTGTATTTCAGCGACGATGAGAGATAGGGCCTTTCTATATTAAGATAACGATAAGCAAATAAATATCGTGTAAGAGCGCTGTAAGGATACATACCTCTTCCACCATGTCCACTATTGCTTCTACTTGCCGTGATGTTGATGGCACCGGTGGCCCACCGCCCGTTCGAAATAAATTACCCCTTTCTACTGCCCGAGCCTTTCGTGCGACTGCCTTCATATTTTCCCACGCCCTCCTTAATGTAACCGTCTCACGCTGAAATAAACAATATGGAAACACGAAATACTAAAGGTGGCCTCAAGCAGATGCGATAATACCGGTGCGATACGATATCGTATTTTTTGCGATAACGATAAAAAGCAAACGCTCTCAAACAGGTGAGATACGACACACTGCGGTGCTATACCGCAGTGGTTTGTATTGATCGCATATCGTAAAATTTTTTACCGCATCTGTTTGACGCTACCTTAAGACGTATAATAAATTGAATAAATGCATTAGGTCGGGTAGTTTTTCGACATCGTTCCTAGCACATTCGTATTCTACATTAAATACCAAAGAAAAAATTCCATTATAGCTCCAAATTTTGAGCCCCCCAAAATTTTAAAATAACCTATCTTTAATTAATACTAAGTTAATGTCTACACTTAATATTAGCGGGAGTGTTATGAAGGTCATATTTTTAATACTTACTTATGTCTTAACGTAGCATTAATTGAAGATAGCTTTTTCAAGTTTGGCGGGCTCGAAATCCAGAGCTATGCTCTAATGGAATTTTTTCTTAGGAATTTATCTAGAATCCGAATCTGTTCCATTCGTTCCATACAACCCGCCTTAAAACGCATATAATTTTACCTTGTAGACATTCGAATTTGAATTGAACTCATTCGTAAGCAAATCCCAAGCTTCTTTCTTTCTCAAAATTGATTTTCCATCCGTATGCTTCGATTCTATAATAGGCCGCTTCTTTATTAGTTGCCCTAATATAGCCTTTTCATCGGCAGTGAAATTTGATACACGCTTTCGATTTACTTTTGCTTCTTCCTAAATTAAAACAAACATTTGTATACGTACATAGAAATTTCCTGGGTGAATTAAGAGCAGGTATTGCAGTTCTTGAATGTGGTAACATGGACAAGCTTTAGCTTTACTATAGTTTGTGCAAGAACCTTTTAACTTGTCGCTTCCAAGAAACAATTGCATTGTAGCTTGACTTGTAAAATCGCATTCCTAAAACGACTGTATTGCAGTTTTCAAATGTGTTTCGAAGAGTTATTACATACAATTCTTTGGGGATGTACAAAACCCACCACACTTCTGGTAGCCCTAACTGACCAGATCACATCTTCGAGTGTGAGCCACTCTCAAAATAGACAAAAACGCTTCTCATCACAATTGTGCTAGCTAATAATTGATTGCCTGCACTATTCTGGAGAGCGTTGCCCAATACTATCTCTCAGCACGGACTTTTCTTTGCAGGCTGGGTACTAAGTAGTGCAGCAATGGACATAAAAGTGGTCATAAATAAGCCGAGACACGTCCAGGACTTAATATAAACCATATTAATTCTAAAACACATACATTCATTCATATGTAAACTATGCATTGTTAAATTATTACAAAAGAAACTCGGAATCAATCACACATTACAAAGAACCAAGTTTTTTCTATGGAGTCCGTACAGCACCAGGGAT